TAGGGTTGCCAGATGGGTTCAACAAAAATACTGGTCACATTTGACATTACAGCACAATCTACATTATTTAGAAAATACCGGACATTTCTATTTTTTCAATTTGTTTCCCGAACAGAAAGCTCAAATACCAGACTGTCCAGTTCAAAACAGGACACCTGGCAACCCTATCCATTTCCTGAGGGGACAAGGCAGTGCAGGTGCCACTACAGACCTCCTGTAGCAATGTGGCCATGACTAGATTACACAGGGACTGCAGGAAAAGGGCCAATAGGCCTAGGCCCCCCCACCCCCAATTTTACTATCTCCCGGCCCCTAGAAGAGTTCATCTGGCTCTGGGGATAAGCCCTGAGCTTCCGCACCCCCTGCCCATGGGCTTACAGAGTGAAGGGTGGAGTCTTTCCCCCCATCTACTTCTCAGTGGGAGGCTGCATCCATCAGGGTGGGTTTTTTTTTGGCTTCTCACTTGGGTGGCCCCCCAACTGATTTTTCTGTGCATCAGAAATGGTTCCCCACCCCTGCTCAAAAGCCACACTGCTTTCGACTGAAGGTGTGAATCTGGGGAAGGGGGCAGCAGGGTTGGCAGAGGCTCTGCCCAGGGTTGGCAGAGGCTCTGGAGGTTTTTTGCCTTCCTCTGTAGCATGGGGTACAGATCACACCTTGAGGATTCTCTGCATCTTGGGGTCTTCAAAGTATTTGAGGGCTTCAATATCTGAGATATAAGTGAGAGGATTATTCTAGGAGGGGTGGGTGAGATTTTGTGGCCTGCGCTGTGCAGGGGGTCAGACTAGATGATCATAATGGTCCCTTCTGACCTTAAAGTCTATGAATTGTGCTGTTTCCAAGAAAAATCACTTGTATGGGACCAAGTTCCAAACGCCTGAAAAATTTGTTCACAGAAGCTCAGAAGAGCAAATTATTGTCAGTAATTTATCCCGTGGCAGTGGCTGGGAGCAAGACACAAGCAGGACTTTGTGCACCCAAGCCACCAGAGTGGGCAGGCTGGGCCTGCATGGCTTCCCTTACACCAGTGGTCTCCAACCTTTTTAAGCACGAGATCACTTTTTGAATTTAAGTGCAATCCAAGAACTACCTCAAACCCAAATACCCTTTGCCCCGCCTCCTTTGTGCTCCTTCTCTGAGGCCCCTCCCCTGCTCACTCCTCCCTCCCTCCCTCCCCCATCTTCCCTCACTTTCAACAGGCAGGGGCAGCAGGTTGGGGTGCAGGTTCTTGTCTTGGATTAAGGGATTTGGCATGTGAGAGGGGCTCTGAGCTGAGCTTGGGGCAGGCAGTTGGGGTGTTGGAGCGGGGTGCTAGGTGCAGGTTCTGGGAGGAGGTTTGGATGCAGGGGTGCTCAGGACCAGAGCAGGGGCTTGGGATACAGGAGGGAGTCCATGACTGGAGGAGGGTTTCAGGATGTGGGCTCCAACTGGGCACCACTTATCTGAGTGCTGGTGCACTGGGGCTAAAGCTCACCCCTGCCCTGGTGTGGCATTACTCCCCAAAACAGCCAGTGAACTTCCTCCCATGTCCTGCTGTGCCCCTCACCCTGCTCTGTGAAGATAGGATACACGGTAGAAGAAGAGGCACCTTGACATCAGCACCCTCGTCTCCCTCTTCTGCTCTGCATAGCAAGCAGGAGGCTCCTGGGCCGGGGGGTGGGAGGAGGCAGCTCCAAGGCAAAGAGCAGGAGATGCGCAGCAGTAGGGGGAAGGGGTAGCTGATGTGCTGGCACTTGGTAGCCTCTTGGCCAAACCAGTCAGAGGCTCCAAGATCTACCAGTAGATCCCGATCTACTGGTTGGTGACCAGGGGCAGCCCATGAGTCTAGGCCAACTCGGCCGTCGCCTAGGGTGCCGTCTTCAATGGGGCATCCAATGATGACATCACACCATTGAAGGCCATGCAGGTGGGGGCAACAATTGCATGTTCCGCCTGGGGCACCAGCTGCCACAGCCCGCCTTGGGCCACCCCTGTTGGTGACCACTGCCCTACACCAGCACCCAGCCACCTGGAGAACACAGGTAAACCCTAGGACAAAGTGCCAGGATTGGGGGAAAAGGTTGCATCAGAGCAGGGGTTGGGAACCTTTTTTGGGTCAGGGGCTGCACACAAGTGAGAAGCCCCCCCAAAAAAATCAACCCCCCTTCAGACATGTTCCTTGAGGAAATAGCCACTCCCCACATTGCCACAGCGGGGCAGAGGGCTCCCGCAGCACTGGAGTAGAGCCCTGAGCCTCAGGGGCTGGATCCAGCAGGCTAGCAAGGGACTGCATTTGGTCCCTGGGCCTGAGGTTCCCAACCCCTGCAAGAAAGAGTTGGAACTGGCTGAGTAGAGTATGGGGCGGAGCATAAAATAGGCTAAACTTGAGGGGTGGGTGTAGAGTGGAATGCAGATCAAGGCTTAGGCAGGAAACTGAAAGTGGCTAAGGAGAACCGGGCAAGACTGAACAGTTGTAGGAAGGAGCAGAAGCTAGAATGGGCAGAAGCAGCAGTTGCCAACTGCCCTGGCTGCTGGGTGGCAGCAGCTGTCAGAGCTCAAGCCAACTGTTCACAGCAGCTCAGCTCTGGCAGCCATGGTGGCTAAGGCAGCAAGAGGAGGCATCTCCCTCCACACTTGTGGGGCAGGGGGCAGAGGAGAGAGGGGGCACACACCCCACCAATGGCCTTTCCCCATGCCTGCGCGGCCAGTGGTAGAAGGCATCTTCCTCTACCCTTGGTAATGGCAAGGCTCCCCATCTCTACCTATGGGGGCACAAGACATACTTGGGAAGGGGGGGGTAATGAAGGAGGGCTGCTCCCCTGCCTGCACAGCAGTAACAGCCACATTCCCTAGAGGGGGCAGCCTCACTCTAGGAAGGTGAGGTGTGGCAAAGGAGAGTTGGGGTCACAGGGCAAGAGGATGGTGGCATGGGCTGTGGGGGACAGAGGGTATTAAGCACTGCAGAGCAAGGGGCTGGGGCAGGTCTAGGCAGAGGGTAACATTTTATTTACATATCCATTCCTTGGATAATAAGCAACTATGTTACCAGGCCACCAAACAGTTTGTGAATGGGTTCGGTCTACAGCATAAGAGGCTGGGAAGCACTGGGCAGGCGCAGAACCTGCTCTTCCACCTAGTTGAAGGGGAAAGCCAGTGTGCCACTTTATTCCTCCGCTATAGAACACCTATGCCTCTACCAGCATTTGCTCACTGCGCTACCTCACAGTTGATTCTTCCCCACTAATGAATCACATCAACTGCAACATCAGCACAAGCTGAGAAAGCCTAGTGAAATTACAGCCCCCCCTCTTCAGTACAGCCACACCCTCAGATGGCAGGAAATGGCAAAATATGAAGATACAAGAGTCTCTCCCCACCCCCACGTTTATGATAAAGGCTTTAATTAAATGCTACAGGTATGCACTCATTAAGGGAACAGTCATTGGAGAATGAATCATGGATGTGCATAAGAGATTAAGCAGGCACATAGGCTATGTCTAGACTGGCATGATGTTCCCGAAACTTTTCTGTTAAGCATTTTCAGAACAGAGCGTCTAGATTGGCACGGACGCTTTTCCGCAAAAGCACTTTTTGCAGAAAAGCGTCCGTGGCCAATCTAGATGCGCTTTTCCGCAAAAAAGCCCCGATCGCCATTTTCGCAATCAGGGCTTTTTTGCAGAAAACAAATCTGAGCTGTCTACAATGGCCCTTTTACGCAAAAGGGACTTTTGCCTGAATGGGGAGCAGAATACTATTTCCGCAAGAAGCACTTATTTCTTACAGTAGAAGTCAGTGCTTTTTCAGAAACTCAAGCGGCCAGTGTAGACAGCTGGCAAATTTTTCCAGAAAAGCGGCTGATTTTTCCGGAAAAACTGGCCAGTCTAGACACAGCCATCGTGAAAGACATCCAAGTATTCTGAAGATTCAAGACTCAAGTGAATGAGATTACTCCTGAAGCTGGGCCTCACGGTGCTGCCCCTCTCTGTAGCATGAGCTTAGCAATGCATCTCAGCACACAAGGGGGTTGCGAAAATAAACCATTTTCAGGGCAGGGTTTAGATAATAGACAGCAAGCCCTTGAGCTATCAAGGGGGAAATGGGGGAGGAAGACTACCCAGAAGCCACTTGTACATACACCTACAGCTACTGTAATAATTGGGTCCTAACCTATATATTACAAAGGCAACTTTTCCTAGAATGGGTGACTGACTTAACAGCTGCAAACAAAAACACTAGCCTAGTAAGTTACATGATACACTTCATTTCTTACACAAAGTCGAGCATGATCAGGGACAGAGCATGAAATATTTAGTAGCTGGTTGTTTCCATTACAGTCATGGGCCTTACACCCTTACTTGTACACCATCCCATCTGTACACTGAGCAGGTTTTATTGCCATGACACCCACAGTGCCTAAGTACCTCACACCATTCATGTACCTTAATGCTAAAAGGCAACTTAGGAAAAAGAAAGCCTAAAAAAAAGTGTGGAAAAGTGCCCATCTTGGCAGACCTATAATCTGATATTTTCCAGAGTTGCTAAGCCCTTGCTAATCTGATCTGTAACTGCAGTCAATCAGCACTTGTGAAAGTTGGCTTTAGTTGTTAATTGTGACAACACAATTAGTGGCCACACCTGAATGCTAGCTACTTACACACATGCCCTATAGGTTTTAGGAAAAAAGCAGTGTATATGATCATATAGCTTGATTGCCTCACCAGGCAGATTTAAGGCTCCCTTAACAACCTTTCTGTTGGCATGTCCCAGGTTGATTTTTTTGGCTTTAGAATCTTAGCTTTAGTCTTGTAAACTAAAAATGTCATATACAATAGCTGCATTTCCTAACCCGTAGCCCATTGGAGTGGTGGAAAAATCCCAGCCTATGTCAATGGCCACAGCAACATGCTAGGAACCCTTTGTGGCCTCTCGTCCTCTTGAGAGAAACAGGAACACTTCAGAACAGCTATTATTTTATTTGAGAAAATGTGATACACAGGCCAGCGTCTGTTGGCTTCCCCCTCTCCCTCACGCTTCAGGCACAAGGCAGAGGAATGGGGAAGAGAGGATGAAACAGAACTGGATTCTCACTTAAGGCTACAGAGCTGCATGGTGGGGAGAGAGGGGTGGGAGGAACAAAGGTCTCCGGTATGATTCTCCCACACCTCCTTCCCCAGGCAGAGACTGATCCATGTGCCTGGTTTATTCCTTCGATGCCATGTGAACTAACAAGTCCACAACACGGTTGCTGTATCCAAACTCATTGTCATACCTGGTGACAGAAGCAGAGAAAGAGCAGTTAGGAATGGACAAACCTCTACATCCACAACAGGAGCCTCCTCACCCCCAAGCCAGGTCCCAGAACAGCCCCCTTCCCTAAAGCAGGGAAAAATTGGAGGCTGAAGTTTGTTCGGATACTAAGGGTCAACTTCATGCTGAGAGGTCTTTCTAGCCCTCCGCCCTGCGCTTCTGATGTGGGCGCTGCCCTGCCCCCAAGTCTTGATTGGCCTGGGGGCAGAAGGGGGAGCGCTAAGTCTCCTCTCACCACTGTGGAATCTGGGGGGAGGGGAGGAAGAGAAGGACTTCACATGCTCCCCCACCCTCAGACCAATCATGGCTTGTGGGAGGGGAAGCGTCCTGGCCCAGCCCCTTCCGGTGCACCCCAGGGCCACTTCAAAAATTTCTAAAATGGCTCCCAGCAAAAAATTATTGCCCACCCCTGTTCTACCCAGGTAACTGCCTCTTTGCCAAGCAAACTGCTGCTGGCTGCCAAGTGTTAATTTTAGATGGAGGCAGCAGAGGGAGAGCATGTAAAGCTTGCCGTAATAGGATCCTTGCCAGCACCCCAAGTGCCTCCCAAATCTTCCAACCTATTGCACAGAAACAACCCTCCAAATTCCTCAGATCCCCTCTCTCCGTACCAGGAGACCAGTTTGACAAAGTTGTCATTGAGAGCAATGCCAGCAGCCGCATCGAAGATAGAGGAGCGGCTGTCACCGTTGAAGTCAGAAGAGACAACCTGGAAGTGGGTAAAGAGGAGACACGGTGACTCACACCCCCTTCTGGCCTCAACTCCTTCCCCCACCCCACAAAGAGATGTTAATCGGCACCTTCCTTCATGAACACCCCCAAGAAGAGAAGGGTGTACTGAAGATTTGGTGTTCCATAAGGCTGCTTCTCCCCACATCCATGAAGACATTCATTACATTCCCCCTCCCCCGCTGTTGAAAGGACATGGGAGTTTACCTGGTCCTCCGTGTATCCCAGAATGCCCTTGAGAGGCCCCTCAGAGGCAGCCTTCATCACCTTCTTAATGTCGTCATACTTGGCCTGAGGGAGAGAGACACAGGAAGTCAGAGCATCCCAGACCCCATGGCATGGCAGCTGCTCCCCAGGGAAGGTTGCTGCCAGCTTTGAGACTGCACTGCTAAGAGTATAGTTAGGACCCAGTTATGTCTGGTACTATACCAGACAGGGGCAGCTCCCCACAGGCCTGACTGTACCCCTTGCACAATCTCTTAAATCACAAGAAACAACAACAACAGTTCTAAATGGAATGGGGGCTTCAGAACAGCTGCACCCAGTCCCACACGTTGAGGAATGGATAGAAACTTAGGGGTAAAGGGAAGTTGCTCCAAGTCCCTTTTTGTGATACTCACTGGTTTCTGCAGGCGGCAAGTCAGGTCCACAACAGACACATTGGGAGTTGGAACACGGAAAGCCATTCCGGTGAGTTTCCTGTGAGGGAAACAGATCAGAATAGACTCCTGCTTGCCCCCAAACAGGGTTTCTGCACATCCTGCTGAGGAAAGGGCAAGACCGGCCAGCTGAAGGTTCACTACCCCTTCTGATGAATCCCCTGCTTTGGGGCACTGGGAGAAGGAACTGACACTCACCCGTTCAGCTCAGGAATGACCTTGCCCACAGCCTTAGCAGCTCCAGTGGATGCTGGAATGATGTTCTGGGCAGCACCTCTGCCATCTCGCCATAACTTCCCAGAGGGGCCATCCACAGTCTTCTGCGTGGCTGTGATGGCATGGACAGTGGTCTGGAAGTTGGGGGAAAAAGGGGGAAGGGTTAATTGAATTTCTCTAGAGCCTCACCCTGCTGACCTAGAGCATTCCTCCCCCAGCCTTCCTCAACTTTCCTCTAGTCCAGGCAGTATAGGGAGACACTCCTGCTCTGTGGGTTCCCAATCCTCCTTCCTCTACACCCAAAACTGTGGGTTGAGGAGTCCCAGCTTGAGTGTGCAGAGACACCCCCCCCCCAAAAGCTCCATGGTTCTGTCCCACTGACAGAGCTGGTGTGGGTTTTTGCGCCTCCAGATTACCTACCATGAGACCTTCCACGATGCCATAGTTGTCATGGATGACCTTGGCCAAAGGAGCCAGGCAATTGGTGGTGCAGGAGGCATTGCTGGAAGAGTCAAGAGGGACACATTAGCCAGAGGCAGTTAGTCAGGGCTCACCTCTCAGCTCCCTCCCCACAACTCACAAGAGAGGGCAATAGTCAGCTATGCACCTCAGGTTCAACCCTGAGAAGACTCCTGCAAACTGTCCCCCTCCTCACCTGACAACTTTCAGAGAATTGTCGTATTTCTCATGGTTGACGCCCATCACAAACATGGGTGCATCGGCTGAGGGGGCAGAAATGACGACACGCTTAGCACCCCCCTTCAGGTGAGCCTGAGGGAGACAGACCAACATTAACAAAGTCCTATATCGCTCCAATACAGCAGCACATTTAGGACACCTCCCCAAATAATCACACTGCAATACAGCCCCAGGGCAGAGAGAACTCTGTCCACACCCACTTCCACATGCAGCCAAGAGTCTCATCCCTACACCCTTTCCTTCCCACTTCCAAGCCAGATGTAACCCATCACTCACGCTGGCCTTCTCTGTGGTGGTGAAGACTCCAGTGGATTCTACAACATACTCTGCTCCAGCATCTCCCCACTTGATGTTAGCAGGATCACGCCTGAGGACGACACCAGAGTATTTAGAAACTGCAAGGCTGTCAAATGCCCTGTCCCCTAGCTCCAAGGGAAAGGGGAGGAAGAGTCATACTCACTCCTGGAAAATGGTAATTGCCTGTCCATTAATCACAAGTTTTCCATTCTCAGCCTTGACAGTGCCATGAAAGCGACCATGCGTGGAGTCATATTTGAACATGTAAACCTAGGAGTAACAGACTGAAGTTGAGTGCTGGCTGCATTGTGTTTCAACTCCCACAGCCCAGGCATTAACTCTGGGCCCCTCAATCCCAATGTGTAGCCATGGGCACTGGCAGGGTTCACAGGGAAATGGTATCACTGATAGCCACATTCCCAGGCCATCCCCAGAATGCTCCAAGTTATAGACCAGGGTTCCACTCACCATGTAGTTGAGGTCAATGAATGGGTCATTGATTGCTACAATCTGGACTTTGTCACAGGTGAAGGCAGCTCTGGTGACCAGGCGGCCGATGCGGCCAAATCTAGGCAAGGCAGAGAAGAGGCGGGCCTCAGGCAGAGCAGGAGCCACATTCCCAGGCCATCCCCAGAATGCTCCAAGTTATAGACCAGGGTTCCACTCACCATGTAGTTGAGGTCAATGAATGGGTCATTGATTGCTACAATCTGGACTTTGTCACAGGTGAAGGCAGCTCTGGTGACCAGGCGGCCGATGCGGCCAAATCTAGGCAAGGCAGAGAAGAGGCGGGCCTCAGGCAGAGCAGGGGAGCCCTGTGCCGATGGGTGCTGGCCACTCAGACTGGGCTTTAGCCCCAGCGGCTGCCCCGATGCAAAGGAGGCCCCCGCCCTACACTCCTCCCACCCAGCCAGCCGGGGCACCAG